CTCTCTCTCTCTCTCTCTCTCTCTCTCTCTCTCTCTCTCTCTCTCTCTCTCGCGGGCACGGCCCGGCCACCTACATCTTTGTTATTCGCTTGCGCACGGTGATATCCCTCGCGACCTCTAGCTCGTCCAGAGTCTTCTCGGTCAAGCCGGCTCGACGCACCTGGTTACAAGACGTAGGTTTTAGGGTGGGTGTGTTCGGCAACGCGCGCCCGGGCGTGTGGAGGCGTCACACACACCAAAAGTTGCAACGGGCGAGGGAGGGGGGCGAAGATGGCAAGAAAGAGGAGGTTGGCCACACGAGAGCGGCTTCGACTTCCAACGTTGTTTAACAAGATCCCCCCTGCCTGCCTGCCTTCCTGTCTGTCAGTCTGTCCCATTGACCCATTCACCACCACCGTAACAGCAACGCGGCCATTTTTATCGTACCCTCTCCGGGAGGCAAAACAAGAAACAAACGATAGTGCCGTCCAAACAGCAGTATTGCTACTTCGGACAGCAGCGATATTGGCTACTGCTGTCGACATAAAGTTCTCGGTACTCCGGAACAGCGTACTAGAGTACAGATGGGAAATCGTGGCAAGATATACCTACAGCGTTGGTCCGCAGCCTTGCTGCTCCAAAATCTGGTGCTCGAACGGAAAAAAAATCTGCAGCTACACACTGCTGTGTGCGTGTCGCCACACTCTGGTCAAGGCAGGCGGACGAGGGAGGCCTGAAGAGGCGGGCTGAGGAAACGAATTTGTTCGAACAGCAGTAACTACCAACTACGGAGTACAAGTACTCTTCCTTCCACTCTGCACGCCGTGCCACTTCATTTAACAGACTCTCAGCAGACAAACTTTGCGAACCTGTACTTGGCACGCCGGACACGGAAACGTCTTGCGACGAAGAAGCTCCTTCTCCGCGCAAGCTTGGTGGCTGTGAGAGGCCAACGTTGTTGCGGGCCAAGCAAGGAAAAACGAATTTGACGCGCCGAGGGGCAGCACCGGACTTCGTCGAAAGGGACGAACGACTAAGATTCGAGGCAGCGCCCGCGGGCAGCCAGTGCGCGAAAAAGCGGGATTGCTGCAGTGGTGTTGCTGTGGACCAAGATGGATTCGTCCGCCAAGTTGGACAGCAAACTGCCACTGTGCAAGAATGGGCGGACAGGGGGTGGGCGAAGTACTGCTGTACTAGTGCGCTGTGTAGCAAGCCGCGTGTGCAACATGGATAGCTCTTGAAATATACTACAACTGCTGTACATTGCCTTCGTTGATCTCGCTTCATAGAAAAGTAGTCTCACGCTACAATGTGATGACTCACAAGCGGTGTCCACACTTGTTGTTGACAACCAGTTTTTGCTTTGTGATGTTGCTCGCTTCATCCTGTGCGCCCTTACAGAGCACACACACCAGTTCATCGTCCATAGCAGCGCCCTGTCTGGTGCGGTTGGGTGGTGTACAGCGGGGGCACCACGGGCACAGGATGGGGGGTTACGTGGACTGCATGCACACCGCAACCACTTCACACTGCTGCCACACTTGCACCTCCCCACGAGCAGTACCTCCACACCTCCACACCTGAACGACGCACGCTGTTTTCCTCGTGAGACACCCACTCGGGAAAAAAGAAGACTTGGCTGATATAGACGGGTGCTGTTTCGAGTTTCGAACAAGGCAGAGAGTCTACGCTGCGGTGTGTGGTGTGCAGTGCAGTGTGCAGCAGCGAACGAAGGAGGCCGCAAGACCTGACAGTCCCGCCGTGTCTCTCTTCAAGTTCGGCTTGCCTGGTGGGAAGGAGAAAGAGAGAGAGAGCGTCGAGAGCGTCACGGTACTTCGCTCCACCACGGGAGGAGGGAGAAGCCGAAGGGGAGAGTACCCTTCCCGGCCGACGTTTACTGGGTGTGACAAAGGAGTGCTGCCGTATGGTTAGAAGATCTTGTCATCTTTACCAGCGGAACAACCAGACTTCTGTAGCAAGTATTATATATTGAGACAGGAGACAGCTGACGAGCCTTCAGTGAGCAAGAGGCGCAGACACACAAAAAAAAAAGTGGGCGGTCTGCTGCTGATCCAACACGCACCGCGATGTGCATCTTCTGCGAGAGGGCCAGGGCCTCTCTCGACGACCCACTGGCAGGGCTCGACGGCGTAGGGGGTTGGGATGCTGACAACTCCACCACCACCGGCGGCAGTTCCAGCAGGTTCAACAGGGTTGCTAGGGGCAGCAGGGAAGCAACCCTTACCCTGCACCAGAAGCGCGAGGCCGAGCGATGCGACGAGCTCAAGCGGAGGGCGCGCTTGCCGGTGACGGTCATCACCGGCTTCCTGGGCGCGGGGAAGACGACGTTTGTGAACCACCTCCTGTCGGCGCGGCACGGGCGGAAGCTCGCGGTAATCGAAAACGAGTTCGGAGAAGTCGCGATCGACGACGCGCTGTTGGGGGACGGCGGCGTCGAGAGGGGAGAGGAGGCCCAACAGGTTTGTGCGGGGCGTTGCTTCATGTTGGGCTGTTACAGGTTATCACTGGCAATGCATGCACTGCGCTGCTAGAGGTGGGTCATACCTTGAAGCGATTGGTTGACTGCTGTTGACTGCTGTGCTGAATCAACAGGCCGCCGTGGACGTTGAAATGTCCATGTACGTCGTGCTTCTTGCTTGTTTCCGAGGAAGCGTCAGCTTGCATTGGCAGATGTTCTGAGCCTGTACCATCTGTATGTGTGTCGTGGTCGCTGTTGTTCGATGGCGCCCTTTGCTTGTGACTTCAGTCTGGTAGCTCCACAAGAGCCCGTGGCTCCCCCTCCCCCAAAAAAGAAAAATGAAGTCGGTGCAAAACCATCAACACCCAGATAGATTATGACACTGCCGCCCGTCCAACTTGATCCCCTCTTTCAGGTCATCCTCATGCCCAACGGTTGCATGTGTTGCAGAGTCAGGGGCGACCTGGTGGATGCGCTCAAGCGGCTTATCGTCAGCGCGAGCGAGCGCGCCTCTTTGGGCGACGGAGACGCGCCGCCCCGGCAACAGCAGACACAACAAAAGGCAGCCAAGTCACCGCCACCGCCGTCCCCCGGCGGCGATCAACTTGGCGATGCCGCGGCGACGGCGGTGGCGCCGCCATCTTCCGAGGCTGCTGCTGCTCGGGACACCGCTACTACAGGAGGGGTTAGAGGGGCGCCGGCGGCGGTGGCGGCGGCCAAGTTGGACGGGATAATCCTGGAATGCTCTGGTCTCGATGAACTCGCCCCCGTGCTGCAGGTGAGGTTTTGAGCCTGTTTTGTAGCTGCATGTTATGGTGACGAACTCACCCGCGTGAACGTACGTGTTTGCTGCTAGGCTTTTTTGGTCTCCATCCCCAACTACTCGCGGGAGTCAGCCCCACTCCCTTCTAAATTCCCGTCGCATCGTATCTGCGAAAAATCGGTTTCACGTGTCACTTTCTCCCTGGCCGCGACTTCGCGGCGGCAACGAAGACTTTTTTCGCGGATTTGTTCGTTCAAGAACACGTCCGTCTCGACGCGGTCGTGTGCCTGTGCGATTCGCCACGGTTGGTGCGCACGCTGATGACGCCGCCGCCGCCGCCGCTGCCGCCGACAATAGCGGAGGGCAACAGCGATGCGAAGAGCTCAACGCCGGTCGAGGAGGGCGGGGAAGAAGAAGAAGAAGCGGCCGACTCGAGCGCTGCTGCTGCTGCTGCTACCCTAGTGAAGAGCCAGCTGGCCCTGTCGGATCGAGTCCTGCTGAACAAGTCGGACCTCATCTCTCCTGCCCAAGTGAGTCGGTCCTACAAGGCTGCTCTTGACATCTCGAGGCGACAACCAAAAGTGGTGGGCAGCCTTTCCTACACTATAATAGGGCACGTCTGCTGCTTTCACACCACCTTATTGTACGGTACTAGGCACGAGAGGCAGCTTTCCCGCGAAGGTGACGCGGGTCGCCCGTTGCAAATCGTCGTTTTCCTCACGTTGTACGTTACTCTCTCACGGTATCGTTCCGGCTGTGTTGTCGTTCTGGGCGAGTTCTCGCCCAGCAATCACGTGAGACCCCACGCCGACCCCATTGAGTTCGTTCGTCCTTACACCACGTGTCCCAATCTCGTCGGTTGTTCAGACGAAAGGCTTCTATGGACATGGGGCATCGAGAGTTCCGACGGCATAACAACACACACACTTTTATTTGTTTGTGGCGTCCGTTCCTCGCTTCTCTTGGTGCCGCTGAAGGGAGACGCTCTGGTGGATGCCGTCAAGGCGAACTTCCCCGGCGCGTCGGTGACGCGCTGCGAGCGCGGTAAGGTGGACGTTGATCTCGTCCTGGGGGTAGACAGCTTCTCGCTCGACAAGGCTCTCGAGGTGAGAGCCGAGTGTTGTCACGGTGTGGTCTCTTTGGTCTGGTCTGGTCTGTTCTGGTCTGGTCTGGTCTGGTCTGGTCGCCTTCGTTCCGCGTCTACCCCCCCCCAGGGTATCAGGCGTCTGACTGTCTCTTGTTGTTTCAGCCCCGATCGTTTCGTTGAGGTGACAGAATGCACAAGAAGCGCAGTGATGTTGGATGGGGAAATCTCGAAGTACGTGGATATACTCCAAGGAGTCGCACAGGGCTGTACGATGTCACCCACTCTTTTCAAGATCTACATCAACGACTTGATAAGGGCGGTTGAAGCAGTAAGACAGGGAGTCCAAGTAGGGGGAAAGAGTGTGTCCGGACTGATGTTTGCAGATGATTTCGTGGGGGTATCCGAAACACCAGAAGGGTTGCAGGAACAAATAGATGCGGCAGTAGGATACACCCGAAAATGGAGACTGTCGGCGAACGTAAGAAAATGCGCAGTAGTGGTCTGTAACGAAGACAAGAAAAATCCCGTAGAGTTCAAATGGAAATGGGGGGAGGAAGAACTACCGGCAGTAGACAGGTATACGTACCTGGGAGTAGAGATTTCGAAGGAGTGCTCATGGGACGCACACATAGCAACGTTGATTGGGAAGGGTAAAGCTCAGATAGGCAAGATGGACGAGATCCTTACGGACCCACACCTAGACACTAGGATTAAGAGGTGTGTTCTCTTGAATGTGATTGTACCTAAGCTAGAGTATGCAGGAGAGGTATGGGAAGGTAACGAAAAGGCCGTCAAGCAGCTGGAAACGGTGCAGATGG